CGCGCGCGCGTATACTCTCGGTACCGCGTAGGAGCGCGCGGCGCCCCGCAAACCTCGTCAGCTGCTACAAGCGAACGGCGCCATATGCAATTTCGCGTGAGCTATGTGAAAAAAAAAGAAAAAAAGAAATGCGCGCGTAAAGGATGGGGAGAACGATAATGATGGCGAGCGCGATATACCGCGCTGATTTTTTTTTCACTCCACGACCTTTGCTCCCTTTACGTTTGCTCTATTTTACTTTCCGCGATCACCCTCGCGGAAGGAGAAGTGGGAAAGCGGCGCGCGAGCGGCGTGACCTTCATCTGGTCTCGTCGCGACTCTCTTTGTCGGCCGCGTGAAGGAAATGCTTATTAACGTTTTATTGCGAAATTCGTCCGCCTTCTATTCCGCTCGCGCGGGCATACTGGAGTACCGCGCGCGTTGCGTAACGTATCATCGTGGTCGTACTTTCGTAAGGTACAGGAAATAGGATGAACCATACTATCGCGAGCGGCGATAGAGAACCAGGGAATTCGTGTGAGAGAGCGAGCGAAAGAGCGAGCGAGAGAGCGACGACACGGAAGAAAGATGGGGAAAGGCGCGAGTTATAGCAGAAACACGGATAGATTGGAGGAGAATACATCCGTTCTCCGTCGCCATATTGGTCTTTCGGTAATCCCCTCTGCTCGTCCCGCCTACGCTCACCGATCTTTTCCCCTACTCTGTTTGTCCCTCCCCTCTCTCTCCATCCCCTCCTGAAACAAATATACCTTGTTCGGCATAGCAACAGCGGCGTTAGAGGGCTACTATAAATAGATCGCTACGAGTTTCCAGTGTTGCCAAAACGACTGGCCCAACGTGCTGCGCAGTAAAACTAGGTACCATCAAGGCCGCAACGGCAACGTCGCACTGCTCGATACGATATGACCTAATCAACCAAGTATTCGATATATACTGTACTCTACTGTGTTTCTTACACAACGACTCGCTATATAAAACTTAACAAGCTCGGAATCTGCATTGAATAAATAATGAACGCTCGTATTTATGAACGAATATATCGTGCATTTGTGCAAAATTTTCTAAAATCTTCTAAAAGTTCTAAAGGAAAGATACGGGAGGGAAGTCAGTTATTCACAGGACGCTGAGAAAATCGCGTAATAAATCTTTAATTTATATACAATTGCGCTTGGGATTACCAAAGAAACGTATTCGCTATAGTAATTTTTTTTTATTACAAGTTTCTCAAGTATCGATCAAGCGACGTTGCTTTTCCGCGCGCGCGTTTCTATGTATTCGCCTATGTCTGAAAAGTGGAGACGAGAGAGGGAATGGGCGTGCCCGGAGGACGAGAACCGGCAACGCCGCGCTCGTAAATCATGATTAAAATAATAAGTATAATACATATGTAGTATATAGGCGGCTGGCGAGTTTATATACGTAAGAACTGCGCAATGGCATGAGCGGGAGCCAACGTCTGGCTGGGTTCTGCGCAACTTTGGTACTCCCACTCCCGCTATGTAGCCCCCACCATAGGAATAAATCCCTCGGGCGAGCTCCAAGAGTGATAAAGAGCGAATCAAGCGCGGGAGTTAGAGAGGGGCAGAGGGGAAGAATGGAGGGAGGCATGGCGAGACGGATGAGGGGAGGGTCATACCTGGAAACCACGACTATATACCAACCCCCGCGCGCGCGTTTACCAATCTTGGCACTTTGCCTGAAAGAGCATATCGACCGTGCGATGTTGTCACATCGTCCGTGCGATCTTAGACGCCAGTCCTGGCTACTCTTTGAGCGGTATGTACCTAGGCTCCTGCAACCGGTCCATGCTACACGACGTATGCGATTCGAGATAGGCGGTCGTTTAGATCAGCTATCCACGCATCTCGCTATCGCGCGTCTCCCTCCGCCCTCATCGTCCCCCTTATTCTCTCAGAAAATCTAAGGCACCGTGACCAAAGTGAAATGTACGTGCTTCAAATGAAAAAGATCTTTTTTTAGGGCCAATATGGCGAATGTTTGATACGTTTATTGCAAAAGTAATAAAATACCATCTTTTCTCTAGGGTAGTAAAAAATTCTGATGAGACAACGATAGCGTAGGCACATAAAGTCAGCTTTATAGCTAATTTCTAATCTTATATTCAATAATCGCTTTTAATGATGTATATGGATTGTCATATACAATATATATACTGTACATAAGTTATTTTGTCGTTCTACTTTTCTCGTTTCTTTACGTTCTTTCATGCAAAAGACAAATATGAAAGCAATGGTTTATTTGTGTATACAGCATAGATCGTCGCTTTAAGTATTTTACAATCCTACATTTTAGTACATTTATTGGCTTTCTACAAGCTATTTCAAATCTTAAATCATAAGAAATTAGTCAATAACAGTGTCGAATGTGAGAAGAATAATTGTGATTGATCCATTATAACTTCAGACTTATAACTTCAGACTTAAAGCTCAGGTAATGACTTACTATAGAAAGTCTACTATCCGAGGAACATCTTGGGAATGTCCTTAGAAAATATGATATTTTTATGATATCTTTAGGATATGTTATTTGGAGATCTGTACGATTCTATTTTTTATAAATCGTTTATAATCTTATTATTAGATTGAATTTCTCAAGCCACAACTGTACTTAACGGTGAAAATGTCATTTTCAAAAATGAAACAAAAAGCACATTGTAGAATTAGCCTAACTCTCAACAACAGCTATGAAAGCTATATTTATTTAAGTTCTAAAGCGTCTTGTTTGAACTACAGAATGCAAATAAATTTCCGTCTTAAACCGTTCAGACTACAGATTGAAATTAACCAATTAGAAGAAAGACAAAACTAATAATAAGTCAACTTTTACGGTGATTGATAGAAGAGTCATCGAAATTTTTTTTACTTTATCCACAATTCAAAACTTTATAGTATCAATCGTACAGATTGTAGGTACAATCGTTGAGAAATTTTCGAAACGAAGGATTCAATCACGAAAACATATGAATATTGTAAGGGAGTGTTTATTCACGGTCATTGTAATCGTCATCACAGAGTTTCCACGCTCATTATCTAAAATTAATAGAACCCGTGAGATCGATAATTCGGTTTCATTTCGCGTGTACTTTCTCTACTGCCTTCTACACGAGAGTAATACTCTGCACATGGTTGGGTCTCGAGATTTACGTGAAATCTATGTCGATCGCAAAATGCTTTGCGTATCGTTTACAAAGTATAACACACTCTAAAATTTTTGAAGTGAAATTTAACTCTATAAAGAGTAAAATCTCATTCTTAGAAATTAACAATTGAGCCACTATTTTTCAATATTGGCTCAATCGTTACTTCTCACACTCTTTAGAATTAAATTTCACTCTAAAGATTTTAGAGAGCACGTTTCGAACTTCGTCTAACAATTGCCTAGAAGAAAACTTATTTAAAAAAAATAGTAGGTATACGAAAATACTAGCATAATCTATTTTATATATGTATATATATTAGTATTTTCGTACATGTTTTATACGATATTTTTTCCGAAAACACGGCCCCTTTCGGATTCGATTGTGAGGTGAAAATTACAAAAACGGGCGATTTCATTTGAATATTTATAATTTATGATGCATGAATTTGCTCACTTTTGTTGCTCCATTTTCACCAAGCTGTGTGATACACAATCGAATCTTTGGGGGTTGATTGCGTATCTTGAAATGAAATAAAAATTACAAAAGTGTGTATTTTGATCGATGAAATTATAGAAATTTAATGAATTTGTTCACTTTTATAATTTTCACCTCATTTCAGGATACACAATTCGATCCCCTGTACACACATTCACGTGTATACAGGGTGTCGCGTCACTTCCGGCTATGGACTGATCGATCGGCACGCGTCAAGTATCAATATCAGTCAATATTCAAACACATCTTCGGAGACGACGGCACATTCGGCGAGACGTCGCGCCGTCACTGCCGCGCGGTCGACCCGTCCGACCGTCGTCGGACGCGAGGGATCGCGCGGCGCCGCGCGGCGCTGAGCCGAGCAGAGAGGAGGTGCTTGCGCGCTTTAATCCCAGGAATGCCGAGGCCGGTTCGAGTGCGACCCGCCGAGGACGACACTAGCGAGAGAGCGCGAGCGGTATATCTAGCGTTGTACAGTGTATGTACAGTCCGCGCAGAGAGTGCCGCTCGCGTAGACGTATGTATACGCGGTCCAAGCGGAGATGCCTAGTGTCCCCGCGGAGCCGCGGACGGTCAACTCGATCGACAGCGCGTCGCCGTACCGCCTGAAATCGAGGTTTCGCACCGAAGACCAGGAACGCGCGCGCGCGCGCGCGATACCATGTCCTCGTTCGAGAGTGTCGCGGTCCTTAGGATAGCTCCGGCGGTCCATGGAGCTACGCCCGGACGGCGAGCATGTACGTAGTCGGCGGTGGAGTGATACCGTCTACGTACATACATCCCGTTCTTCCCCTGTTTTACCCTCGACGTATCGAGCGCGATAGTGGTGGTGGTGGTGGCGGTGGCGGCGGTGGTGGCGGCGGTAGCGCGCTGGTGGTGGTGGTGGTGTGGAGGCGGCGGCGGTGGGTTAGTAACGATGATGAGGATCTTTCGCGCCACCTGGTATAAGAGTGTCGGCGCACAAAGTGAAACGTCGTCGTCGTCGTCATCCTCGTCGGGGGAAAGCGTGAAAACTGCGAGAGTCGGCACGAGCATCGATTAGAGGGAACGATACGACTTTCCCGTGCATCGCGGATCGTTCACAATTCCGCCGATACGTCATCCTCGTTCTTCCGCTCCTCTCCCCCCTGTCGTGTAACATGGATCGCGCGCGGTACCGTCGGCGGTGCGCGTAGGTGGACGGACGAGGCTGCTGCTGCTGTTACTGCTGCTACTGCTGCTGCTGTTGCTGCATGTTATAACCTCAACGAAGGGAACGGTGTGGCGTGACGAATCCGTCCCAGCTGCACCGCGAAATGTGAATTCGCGCAACTGAATCCAAGGGTGACTCTCTCGAGCGTCGAAGATGAGGAACGGCTTCACCGACATACCGGTCGCGAGTGCCGACAGCAGCACGGACGCCATATGGCTCGAGAAGAGCAGTCCGTCGCGGATGGCACCCGAACGAATGTCACTGAGTACGTTTCCCCTTCGTACACGTCCCGTGCCGTGATCGTGGACTCGAGAATGCGATTTAGTTGATACGTTTAAGGAGTCTCCTCCGCGTCTTGTCAGCGCGATTCACACGCGGGAGATTGACCCTGCAGAGAAGGGCATCGCGCATCCTTTTCTATACGTTTTCACAGCCGCGGGGCGAAAAATTCAACTCGTTGGCAAATCGCTCGCGTCGATTTCTGTTTTACTCTGAAATCGACTGGCGCCGAGGATTCCCCGAGCAAGTCGACGCTGAATCAATGTAGTCTCTTCTTGATGTCACCGGAATCCGGAGTGTTTACACTTCCGCGGTTTATATCTCGCTAATCGCGTCATCGCGACGCGAAACGCCGCGCCGCGTATCATCGAGCGCGCGCGCGGGATCGATTGAGGATCCTCAATCGAGGCGCGTCACGTGCGCGACAAGTCGGTTTTACCTACCTGTTTCCTTTTGACACCGCCGCCGGTTACTCCGAGCCGGCGTGTTTATGCTGTACGCTGGATATACCTCCGTATTCATAGTCAGACCTTATACTTAAGGCTTCCTTAAATTTATCTTTAGATACTCGCAGTAGCCAATAAAATAATTCGTAGATCATCTGAAGATAAATTTAAGGAAGCCTTAAGTATAAGGTCTGACTATGAATACGGGGGATATTCTCGATTGTTTTGACGCGTCTCGAAGAGGCTTTGATTATCGGATCGCGATTCGATCGCGGTGCCAAATTGATGCATTAAAATCATTTTTTTTGGTCGTAAATGAGGATTCCGATCAATAGAAATTTTTCCGCTGTCTCAACTATAATAAACTCAACTAAAAATTCTGATTTATCTATTTTCAACTAAAATTTCAATTAATCCCATCACACTCTTTTCAGTAGAAAATGACTGCAATGATAAAAAATAATTCTTATAAATTTCGTTTTCATGAAATTTGATTTGATTCCCGATATAAGCATATTCTTAATTCACGAGGTATACGTGAAAAGGTGTGTGATAATTAAGCCTTAATTTTATTAATTAACTCTATTCACAGAAAGATGGAGTTGGACCCGGTCTTTTTATCTGAAGAAAAAGATAACACATGAAACTCTCTTCTGTTTATTTATATATGTATTACATGTACAATAAAGTTTATTTATTAATTTTAAATAATTGCAGTAAAACAAATTTTTATATTGACGAAGCCGTGGATCATCCGACTCCAACTTTGCCAGAGTTAATTAATTCAAGTTAATTAGTGTTAGTTAATTCAACGGTTGCGTATTACGAAGTATATATGAAAAACTGGAAATTAATGCCGAATTTTATTAATTAATGTTATCTAAAGATTGTGTATTACGAGGTATACGTAAAAAACTGATAATTAATTTTTAACTTCATTAATTAATATTATCTATTAATTAAGGTATATTCTAAAAAATATCAATTTAATACACATACATGTCTATATATTAATTTTTATCATGTTGATGTTAATATTAACATGTGAATTTAACATTACGATGTCCATATAATTCTCACCGTTAATGTGGATTTCAAACTCATGGTGTAAAATCCACGTTATTGATGTCAATATTAACATCAATACAGTGAGAATTATATAGGCAGACACTGTATAGTGTTAAATACCGGCATTTTTTAGAGTATATGAAAGTTACGATTAGTTTTGTATTGGTGATGTAATAGATAGGCCTGAGCATCAGCATAAAAAAAGCTATTTTTGAATTGGCGCGCAAGAAATCGGCCTACATACTAATTGCAAATCGATTTAGGATTTATCGGATGTGATTTAACGATGCGTTGTCGCATAATAATTAATAAATTTACATGATAAATAACCAGGAACAAGATTTAACTGGATTATTATACATGCTACAAAAACATCGGTCGGCAAATAGCTAATTGAATATATTTTATAAATAGCACGTCTATCGACAGAGAACTTCTTTTGCTGATAATATTTATTCTCTCTCTTGTAATGTAATTCTCGACTTTCATGATATATATGTAATAAAAAACATTAGTTTTCTAGACATAAGGTATTGAAATTTTTTATTCCAAGTATATTCTTTTCAAAAATTTACACTCTCTTATGTAATGTTATTCTCTCGATGCGATATGCATAATAGGTAATTAAGACTTAAACAACTACTTTTGAGAATATAAGGCTTACACGTCCTCGTTTTTCAGATTTCGAGAAAGTCGTCGTTAAGCAGGAACGTCCAGACGATGCGGAAATCCGTGAATTGGCTGCCAAAATGGTGGAAGCACACAAGGCGAAAATGCTGGCGAACATGCCAGCGGTACAACAACAGCAGAGGCAGCAGTGTCTTATGTCACAGCCTAATCTTCCCGGTATTCTTGGATATCTGCATAAACGACCAACTGACGGGTCGCCCGCTCCGAAACCGCCAACTGCTGCTTTGGAGAGTAAGGTGCTGACACCGGACGACGACAGCCTGCGGGGGCGATTCGGTTGGACGAGCTTTGACGAATGTCACATACCTTACATATTTCGCTCCGGCGAAAAGTATTGCGCCGTACGCATCTTAGAAACTAAGCTTCTCAACAAGTACCTGAGTTTTCTTCATTCGGACATCTACAGTTGCACATGTATAAGGAGTTATTACATTACGGAGGCCGAGAGCAAGTTGTTTAACGAGATTAACACCAAGCACTGCGAGAATCAATTCGGGAGGGACGTGTTTACGTGTAAGGACCTGGTGGTACGTCTCTCGGATGCCAAGGAGTTTTATACGTTTCTCGATGTGTGTTATACTAAACTGACTGCCGGTACCAATCCAAATGTGAGCGGACGCAAAGCGGACAAATGTGGTTTCATACGAATAAACAAAGAGTCTGTAGTACCTTACACGGTAAAGGACAATCTGCAATACGTGCCACTGTTTTATTTCGAGGGCGAGACGGAAAATCTCAAGCTAAAAGCGGAAAAGCTTGAGGGCTGGGATTTGTCGTATTTGAAATTTTGCTGCAAAGTACAGGGTATACGTAACGAACTGTTTGCGAGTGAAACTTGTTCGGTAATTAGTTTGAGTGACATTAAGAGTTATTTTCCACCGGGTACCGGCTTCGAGGACTATTGGCCGACCAAAGTTATGGACTCACAGTTATTGGTGAATAGCAACGGAAGCAGTACCGGCGGTGGATGGACGAAACAGCCACCTACACCACCGACGACTAAACCTCCTCCCGTACAAAACGCAAATAAAGTGGCACCACCTCTAAACACACGTACCGTACCGATGCCTAATATGATGCCACGGGGGACTGTCACGAGTACGGCACCGCCGCAGATGCCGCGAATAGGACAGCCGAGGCCTGTAGTCACACACCCCGCGCATTCTTCCCCATCGGGACTTCCCACCGGTAGATCAAACATGCCGGTAGTGTCGCAGCCTATGTTGAATACCGTTCAAGGTGTGGTTAACGGCCATTGGTCGGGCCTCGTTGGTGGTCAACCTACCTTTCAAACGGCACTCAATTCTCAGGCCAGCATTATACGAGCGACTTTGAATAATGTGATGCACAACGTAAGCTAATCTCCTTGTAATATAGACATAGTTGCCACCTTTCGACTAGTATGTTACTAGAGATCGACGGTTCTTCTACTGAAGATGTCGCTAACATGTCGAAAATTGATAATTACTGTCAAGATTACTTCCCTCTCATACAGTACTCTCCATCCAAGGGATGTTCTGGAAATATTTTTAGAATGTTCTTTAGAAGTTTGTATTGTAAGTGGTTTCTGCACATCAGAATTGGATCTTCTGCTAAATATTTTGAAAGGAAAATCACAACACGCTTATCTGAAAAGCAGCTCATTAAAATTTTGAGCGATTAGCTGGAAATTTTTTTCGTTGTTTAAAGAGCCGGAGATTCAAACGATTCTCGGTCAAAAACCGGAGAGGTGGCAGCCGTGATTATAAATCATAATATGAGATGTTTAAGATATCTTGATAATTTTTGTAGTTGTAGCTTTAGTGTTTATATTGTATACCAGACAAAATGTACAGTTTTTCATTTTTAGCAACAAATGACAACTGCTGCCAAAAGCTATTCTCAACAGTCTAGAAGTAGAGCGAGCAATAGTGGAGCAGCAGCTCAGTATCCTGGAGTATATCCGACGACAACCATGCAAGGAGTTGCTCAAGTCCAACCACCACCTCTTATACGAGCAACTGTTCACTCCAATCAACCGAATCTCGGGTAAGCATCAATAGAATTTTTTTCTAAAAACTTTTTAATATAGCTTAGTACATATATACACGTGTTGTAAGCTCACAAAGTTTCCAATAATTTTAAAAGATAATTTTGTTTTTCTTTTATATCATTGATTTTTTGGCAACTATGTATTTTTATACCGTACGCTTGCTTATAAAGCAAACTAATTAGCATAGAGTGTACATAATATCCAATCAAATTGTTGCACCTATTTATTTTGTATTGTGTATGGTATCATTTATATAATTAAAAATTAAAAATCGTATATTGCAAAAGATAATTTTGATTTAAAAAAAAAAAGGATTAATAAGTGTTTTCCTTCTTAATCAAATAAATTAATGTGTGAAAGTAAAGTTATGAAAGAAAGAAATTTCACTTTTTATATATAGCACATTGAGCATGAAATATTGAGCATTAGAGCCATGCTTATCCTAGCTTGAAACATTATGTTTACATATATAAAGCGTAATTATAATCGTTATATGTAGAGTATCTGCACCATAGCTTTCTGCATTTGTACATACAACGTATGATTTTTTTTGTATAGTTATCCCACCTATGGGAAGGATGACTGGTGAGTCCTTGTAACATATACTATTGTCATATAGATTATTATAAGAAATAAGATAGCATGCATAAATTTATATCTCAAGCTGTAAATCATATAAATAAATCTAACATCAATATTTGTAATTAATCTACAATACATGACTGTCTTTAAAGCTTCTCTCTCTTTGCGTGATACATTAATGCTCATAGTCAGGCATTATATTTAAAGTTTCCTTAAGTTTATCTTCAGATGCTCTACGAATTATTTTAGTGGTTACTGAGCATCTAAAGATAAATTTAAGGAAACCTTAAGTATAAGGTCTGACTATGAATACGGGCATAAGTACATTAAATACATTAGTTATAAATCTATTTTACACACACAAATCTACGTTACACAATATTTTAAATTTCATGTGATTAATGTATGATTTATTATATTGCTGTCAATGTATAAATAAAATAGTCTGTATACAATATATCTAAATATTTAGGTAACTAGAATAGAAATATTTGTTAAGATTTAATAACTGTAATATCCAAGTAAAAATCAAATTTGTTTACTAATGAGAAAGCTTCGAACAACAATCAGTATTTTACAATGATTCTGAAGTAAAATGATGTATTGTATTTTATTATATATTATTTTCTAGAAATTATTTACAAACGGTTTCAGTTATTTATCTATTTAAATGAGAGACATCCCGAATAATATGAGTAAAATGTCTAAAATGCAAGTAATGGATAAAATAAATGTTGACAGCATTATATTATAAATCCATTTATAAAATTGCTTTTTTTTTGGTCGTATTGATTAATAAAATATATACAATTTTTATATATATTTATATATCCCTTGCATATAGACATTCCTTTTATATAAATCTATTTTATCTTTTATTTTTATAATTGAACAAAAATGGATTCATTTATTAAAAATTAAATTAAATTATATTTGTAATTTGTACAAACATAAATATGTAAATATAATGTAATTTTATCATATCTGCATAAATCTTGTGTTGCTTTTGTGATATTGTATCGAATATTTTATTAATTTGTATAAAAATATAAAAATTTAACAAAAATAAACATACACACACAAAATCAATAGACACTTATATTTATTGCTGAAAAGACTTTAATGACAGAAATTAAATAAATGAGAATTAGTAACAGAGTTACTCGATAAAGTAGTAAAAAGTAATATAATTTTTGTATTTCAGGGTGACTACGACATATACAACACCTACGTTAGGTGTACCTAACGCAGTCGCAGCAACCACATATCCACAAATGCTTGGTTTAAGCGAACAAGTCCAAGCTTTAATGCCAGTACCTACATCAGCACCAAATTTATTACATCCGCAAAGGCATACACCATCTGTGCATAACACATCTCATTCAAAATATCCACCTCCTTTGATACCAGTTAATGGTAGCAGCGGTAGCGGCAACAGTAGTAGCAGTTCCAGGTATATATTATTACTTATCAATAAGCTAAATAAATACACATTAGATTAATTCTTTTTTTTAGCATAAAGTGTATTTATAGAATATGCTTAATTCAACTCGTGCGTTCACGATTAAGTTATTTTTTAGGGATACCCGAGGGAGAAAACCACTGATACCAATATCGGACCCACAACATATTACTACTTGTCATGTACAACCATACCAAATACAGAAAGCATTACTTGAAGAAAAGATGGTACCCTGTATTAATTTCAAACCTTACATCTATAGCGAATTGCTGATGACACTTCCTGACTTCGTTTCCAATTTCTTTCCTGCTTGTGACATCGAGAGTTGTAGACAAGTTCTTACAGATGTACTACATATAGAGTTATATCAAGGAAATAGGTAAATATATACATAAATGAATAAATATAGATAAATATGGAAAAATAAATAAATAGATAAATGGGATAATTGACTATAATTGATACTTGTTATATGAAATAATCTATTTTATATAAAAAAAAAAATAAAACTTTGCAGACTGCAAATGAAGATGTTAATGGAAGCAGGCAAATGTTCTTCATTAACAGAAGATCTACCTTTAATCCATATTAGGAGTATAATGAAATATATGCCACAATTCAAGTATATGTTCAATAGAGGAGATATGGTCATGCCTTCCCCAGCTCATTCGTCTGAAGAGCACCCTGCCAAAAAACGTCAACGTACCAGCTAGGATTGGCTACAGCCTTACTGGCCTACTTATGATTATTACCATTCGGCATTCTAAAGCCGATGTTCTCATGATTGTATTTTAGAACGCCTTTGAAAGTTAGGTGTATCTAAATACAAGTGTATAATGTCGCGTATGATGCGCAACAAAATATACATTGGTTTTGACGAGTGTGTAAAGTGACAGTGGTGAGAGCTATTTCTTTCTCCAAAGTGTATTGACGTGACTGTAAATAATATTAAAACGTGTAAATTTAAAATATGGTTGACAATTCAGATTTGCTTTCTATGTAGAAAGATTTATTTCAATAGTCGACAGTAGATGTCACTTTCGATTCAATTTTCGTGTTAATGCCTACTCTTTTTCTCACATCTTGACAATGAGTCACCGGATACGCGTAATTATGACGTTTTGTGACTTGGAAAAGACCGTATGCACATAATTGAATTGTATCTTTTGCAAAATTGTCATTAAAATTTTTTTGACGCGACCATTATTGAGATAAAGCACCTTATTTGCGCGCATCTATTGATTGTCAAGACATGAACGGCAAAGAGGAGACTCGAAAATCGAATCGAAAGTTGCATCTGTGATGCCAATCATTGATTTATTTTATTTCCATTTTTGAAAGCTTTGTTATAATATAAAAATCATTATATTGTTACACGAAAAATAGATAAAATAGAGAACGGTTTTATTTTCAAATTAAATGTATCCTATCATTCCATATACATACATACTTTTGCTCCTCTCTTTTACACACACGCGCACGCACGCACGTACACAAAAACACGTGAGTGCAACATACAAACATTTTATTTCTACCTCTGCACAACAATGAATACTATTCTTTTAGATTTCAATTTTACGTGTGTTCTTGTTATGCATTAATATCTTGTGTGTATATAAAAGTAAAAGTTCTATTTTAAAGAAAATTCGGAGAAAGAAAAGTATATTGTCCCATTTATTGTAAATGGGCATAACGTGCTATAGAGTTATTCAAAATGAATAACCTATTTTGCATATTAAATGTATATCAATAAAAAAAAGCGAAAAGTGGAAGTAAAGCTTCTTCAAGTTCCTAGCTATTACTAGTGCGTATCCTGATAACTAGCTACAAGCTAATTTAAAAGCGTTAGACCATTCATTTATTACTATAATTTTGCGTGTGTTTTTATACCATTTTCTTAAAACTTGTTAAAAAGCGTTAAGGTAATTTATTGATGAACATTTTTTGTTTCGAGTATTAAAAAAATATATTATGTACAGAAGAATATGGTGACGTACTGAACGGAAATAATAGAACGGAACAAATACCTACTTAATGTGAAAAAGATGGCAGTGAGCAATATCTCATGGATAGATTTGTAGGAGATATGAATAATGTACAAGATCTGATTACTATCATACAATGATAAGAAAATAAAACCGACCTTTTTGTATCTTTTTTTAAAATATAGTTAATAATAGTATTTTGCCATATTGCTGCTGCATCTTTTAGATATTCGCATTGTAAACTTTTGTTTTAAGTATTTCGAAATCCCGAAATTTGTTACCTGATATGATAAAATTTAATAATTCTTGAGAGTTTATTGAAGACAAGTATCTTGTGATGGGTTTAGGTGAAACCTTATTGAGTCGAGTGGAAAAGACTGCGTCTATATAAAAATATAAAAGTTCGTAAAAGTGTACGACACAAACGATATTTACTATGCCAAATGCGTTATACGCATCAAATGTGATATATATGACAAAGATCTTAAAGAAAAAAACATTGAGTTCAGCAAAATTGAGGCGGTTTCGCTCAAAGCGAAGCTTTATTGTGCAATTGTTTAACACCTTTAACCCAGTTCACAGATACAATTAAATTTATGTACGCATTTGAAATGCCCAACTCGTATAGAAAACTGTTAAGACATTTATACAAATATAACACGAAAATACAAAAAAAAAGAACGTTCAAATGATTAAAAAAAAAATTAATTAATATTTGAACCACGTTAAAATAGTCTTCCACTTATGATTCATATGAATACGTCACAAATCAAATTATATTCAGTTCAATAAATTATTTCTCGAGATATTGACATTATATTAATTTGTTTTCGATAATTTGTGTTATTTATTTCCATTTACAATAATAGAATGCAGGACGCAGTAGAAGGTCCCTCTTTTCAGGGCACGTATAAAATGCTATTTTATCTCTTCTCGATGTGGGACAGAGCATTAAAGAGTTATCGACTGGCGATATATATATAATATAAATAAATAAATATATATATACTTTCGTCACTCACTAATTTTAGCGTAAGAAAGCTCTAAATAAAAGTGTACATGGCAAACAGGTGTATATAAAGAGATAATTATAACGACTGATTCACGTCGAACGTGAATCTTCCGCGTAAGGCAGAAATTGTTTGGATATTCTGTCTGTAGTGAATATAGTATATTATTTATGAAGCGATATATTTTGTGGTATTACTATTTGGAAGACACTTTGCATTGCGCTATCGAGAAACTTTGGACTGGTATATCTTATTGTTACAAAAAAATGGTTCAAGAAAATGTAGAAGAGATCCGAAGGTGGGGAAAAACGTCTGGCAATTTATTATTATAAGTTTATAAATAAAAATTTTTTTTAGAGCGGTGATATTATTTCATTTAATCAAACGCTAACATTATTTATAATTTCTACGATATTCCATGTTATGTATGTAACGTCAAGTGGATTTATATTTCGTCCAAAATAGTACGCGTCAGTTTTGTTTTGTTATGTTTGTTTTTCATAAAAATTTGTTTTTATATTTTTTATTTTATGTTTTTATCATATTCGTGAGCACATAAGTTTGATATAATTATATCAAATGATGACTTGCGAAGAGACCTCACATGTGACGAAGAGAAGTACATGTCGATTTTATTTTATGATTCTTTGGCGCGATGAAAAGAAAAACGTCTATGAAAAATTTAAAATTAATTTTAATGGAAATAGTTATACTATTTACAAATTGTGGATGCGTAATCTTATCTTTCTCGAGGTAAATGCAAGAGATGGCTCCAGTCCAAGACGTTAGAATATAATATCATTTTTAATATATTAGATTAGCACATCATTTGTTAACGTTTGTTAAAACTGTGTATTATACTTTATCATGCTATCATTTGTACATATAGAGCATAAGGAAATAGGACTATTAGACATTTCAAAATAAATTCATGATACAATCAAGTGGCAGTTTTTCTTCGCGTCCAACATCCTTCACGTGCGCGCACTATTATATAACATAATATAACATTTTTATTATATATTAAATTAGTTGCATATTTAATAGAGAATGGAAGTACGCGTTATTTGTAACACTACACAATTAGGAGAAATGTTTCAAAATTGTCTAGAGCCTTCAAAGATGCATTTGGAAAGATTATTGACACCATTTGTGTTATTATTCTATCTTCATCATTTATTAGACGTAAATAAAATAAAGATAGATGACATGAATTAGTAAAATTAGTTGATAGCGCGTTTTTTGAATGCAGCCTTAATCTTAACGGATTTTCATTTTTTTGTTTTTTAAATAAAAGCTTATTTAATTTCGGAACAAGTTGTCGAGGCCGATTTTTAAATTAGGCTTTTTTTGAAAATGACGCATGTAAAACAGTAGATGAAAAATGAGAAAATATGTTTCAAAATTGTCTAACTCTACAGTCTTCAAATCTTAACCGATTTTAATGTTTTTTTTTTCTAAATAAAAGTTTATCCTTTTCGAAAAAAAGTTGAGGTTAAAATTGAATTAGGTTTTCTTTTTAAATGGCGATTAAAAATATGAAAATTACAATTTTTGCCTAATTTGTATTTGTACTAAATCGAGTATATATGTTCTTGATATCACAAATTATGAATGTAACATTAACATTACAAAATTCATTATAATAAATCCAATATACAGCTTCCATGAATAATAAAGATATAAATTATAGTTATAAATATAAATAAACCTACTATTATGAATTGATTTACACAATATTTACATGTAAATAATATTTTTAAGGATATATGTATTGATGGTCGTATTATATAGGTAATTACTACAAAGTAAATTAAATTTGGAAATGTGTTTAATATTTATTTTTACGATATCTTTCATATCACACATTTTGGAAAGAATTAAAACATTTTTTTCAAATAAGATATATTAGCATGGCGTACAAAGGTACAAATAAGCTGAAAAAAATTCATCCGTGTATATAAAGATGAACTCTCTCTACTCTGTCTCATTCCAATATCGTACAGAATAGAACAGATTGCAAAGATTGCAGTGCATCGTATGTAAGACAAACAGGTAGAATTTTAAAAGCGCGCATTAACAAATACAGAATTATATATATTACAATATTTCCACATCAATTGGAACACGACTTAGTTATTACTTCACGTAGATTTGAATTCGCTCATGATTGCAATTGTGAGAATATCAAAATTCTAGATGAACGAGTTTTTACACAAAAGATTGACATTTGACATTATTTTTATAAAGAAACAGAAAAATGGTTTGAATATAAAAAGTGACATTGAATCTCTCGACGTATTATATTGTAAACTATTTTCAAGGACTTGACGCTTCCCTCTCTTTACCATCTTTTCCCGCGTTTATATATATATAATATACATATATACTCTAGTTTTTAATTATGTTTAATTATGTTCGTGCTCACATGAGCACGAACAATCGAACTGTAACGTTTACCAAGTAAATTATCCATACATCTTTATATGTAAGTTTTTGTTTCATCATTTTAGTATTTCTGATTTATATCGTTCTAATTTGTTTGAAATTCTTAGTTAATTAAAATAAAAATAAAAATGTGTCACATCGCCAACCATAAAATTCTGCTTCATGTCACTGAATTTTTTTCGTTTTAATTTTACGTATCAATTTATGTGACAAATATACTTTTTGCGACATTGAGAAAGATCCGCATTCTAGGATTGAAACGTCTATCTATGTATTGGTTACCCATGTATTGATTAAATAAATTCATTACGCGCGCACATGATGTTTGGCTCTTATATAGACATTATTATTCTCTGAGTTATTTCGATAGAGCCTGTATTTTTTTTAAATTTAATTTATGCTACAAATAATATATATATATATATAAGTTATGTAAATAATATATTTCTATTTAATAAAACATTTTTATAGTTTATTTAGTCTATTTGTCGTTAAAAATGAAATTTTTTCACATTTTAAAAATCTAATTTTTTGTATAATCTATTTTAAATGTTCAGGATGATTTATAGAAGGTTTCATTTTCAATTTGTTTGAATTTAACGTGCAGTATTAAAGAATTGTCTAACAATTAAGAGAGACCTATCAACTATTAGTTGCCGATCTCAAGTGATGTAAGTGAAAAATACATACCGAGGTGTGATATATATAAATTATTTCCTCGCCAAATATACTTCAGGATGATATATAAAGTATGCAACATTGCGGATCGGTGACGAAATAATTTCTAGGCATAATCCTGGCCACGATAGAAGCCACCTTGTCGCCGTAAATTCGTGATGTGTATATAGTACTGGAGTTCGTTTAGGAAGAAATATGATTCATATACAGGATGAGGCATTTTAATCGCCTCAGGCGAATATCTTAGGAATTAAGAGATACAAGAAGTTTTATATAAAAAAGTTGTAGATTTTCTTGGGGGAAAGAAAAATAGTGTTTAGAGGCATTTTACTCTTGACGTGTGGGGCCAGTGCGCGGATTGAAAAATTGTTTAAACATATGAAAAAGGTGGGTAGCGTCACTAAAACTGATCAAGAACTATACTCTTCGAGTACTACAAATGGCGCAAAAAAAAATAATTTTTTTGAAACTTGAGGTGCGAGCTCTTTTTTTAAAAATTTATTTAAAAATATTTAATGGCCGGTATGTTATAATCGATCAGGAACTGTAGTACTCTTCGAGTACTGTGAGATTTCGTCATAAAAATCGACTTTTTCAAGTCTTGCGGTGCTACGCGAAGTTAGCACCGCATATTTTTATTTTTAAAAATTTTTGACCTAAATCAACAGTACTATTGATGAAACCTATCAGGAACTCTGGAACTATTTTCTCAAAAACTTAATAATACGATATACCATTTTTACAGTCAATGTTAAAATTTTGTCAGAAATGATCTTCTTTTGTACGAATCCTATCATATTTTATCGGATAAGATAATCTATAAGATTTGATTCAAATTAGTGAATTCATAAAGCAGATTCCATACTACCAGGATGTGTTAATAAGAGCTGCCAAGTTTGGTTCTTATATTTCTTCATCTAGATTATTATCCCGATAGCAGTAAAGAGCTTGAGAAACGAGCGATCTCGGCTTTTTAAAGTCGTTCGCACATTTCCTCAACTTCCCTCAGCCGCATTCACGTCGGAAGTACGTCATCCGCGGGATATTTCAATAGACAGCGGCGATGGAGATAGCGCTCGCGTCGATCGCGAAATCTAACGAGCTCATACGAGAATAACCGAAGCGAGGTAGTTGCGGTCGCCATTTTCTCGGGTAGTCATCGGAAATCATCTTGTCTCTGTCACTACGGTTAATTTTGACCGCATCTCGTTCCGGACGGGGTAAAAAACCCCGACTCTGCCCGCCGTAGATATACGTGCCGCGCCGACCGTACGTCGCACCGCAAATGGCTTGTCTGAACACCCTTAAGCAGGAAATCAAAACGCTCGAATCCGTCTTCCCCAAGAGCCATGAGAGGTTTCAGATAATGTCTGCGAGCGTGGACGAACTCAGCTGCAGATTCGTCGGTAAAAATGGGAAGAAGTATGAAATACACGCCAATATCACAGTAAGTGCAATACGCGCGCGCACCCCGTGTAGCCTCCGGACGGTCCTCCGTTTTGCGCGTTCTGTGGCTAGCGTGAATGCCGTGAATGAGTGAGTGCGTTAAAATACGTCGGTGCTTTCATTCGCTGCCTCGCTTCGTTTCGTTCATCCCGTTTTCGCACCGACACTCGTCTGAATTTTCTTACAAATGATCAATGGAGCCGACGAGATACTCCACTTGTTTTGTGCCGTGAACGGGACATCTCGCGGCAGAATATCGCTTTCACGTCTTCCCTTTCTCGATCTCGATCCTTGAGATCGTCTTCAATCGCCGATCGATTTTTTTTTTTCTCGTTTTTATCTCCTTCGCGAACGCGAGAACTCGTCGAATAAAAGGGTCGAAGCTGTGGGTAAGAGAGTATCTGCTCCATTCCGGGATCTCTCAGGCATTGTTTTTTTCCCACACTGACGTGCCGCAGACAAAGGTGAAGGAGAGAAGAGGATCCAGACAAAGAATCTCGAATGGGATTCTTCGATCTCGAAGGAATATCGAATCTCAAAGCACTGCTCGATCGCGTACTTTAGGGACATAGTTTTCGCGACAAGTCGATTTTCTCTTTCGCTCTCTTCTTTTTCTCTTTTTTCTTTCTCTCTCTCTCTCTCTTTCTCTCTCTGGCAACGCAGAAGCGCAACATTCTATGCGTGTGTGTGAGTGCGCGATGTTAGCACGCGGAACATCGCAATCAAAAGCGGTCCTTTTGCAATGCGTATTTCCATTCGTATGTGTGATTACAACGTGGATATTTCAGCATCATTTACCGATTATGTGACAGATGTCAGTGTGTGTAAAAGTTTCTTTTTTTTGTGTTCATTTCGCGTGAGTGTTTAAATGGATGTGTAGTACATATAACGTGCGTAATCGCTTGTCGTGTAAACGAGCAATTTTGAGAAGGTTTGTTATCTTTTATTTATCTCCTTTTACATTATGGTCTTAATACCAAACACATTAGAATGCGTTCCATTCGGTGTTCGTAACGCTTCAGAGTATGATTCATATCTTTGTTTAACATTTGATAAACAACGAGAATGAAATGATTCTAAAGAAACGTCAAGTGAAATGCAGTCTATATCCATCAATATAAATTGATTTTAATCTTAGTTTAACTTAAGATATTTTCCATTCGGTGACACAAGTCGACACAAACGTCATTCTGTTTTTCTTGACATTCAGGAAGTAACAAACATAGCACAACACTTGTGTTGACCTGTACCATCGAACGGAAAGTATTTTTACTTTTTACATCGTCTCTAAGTATTAGAAAAAAAATTAAGAATACATTGATCCAAGTTAATTTATATTGGGTATAAATGAGCATTAAAAGTTTCTTTTTTGTTTTTCTAGGGTTTAAGGAGATGCTATTAGCACTATTTGTGTCATTACGTCCTCATTTTACATCTAATGAACAATGAAGATAGAATAACACAAGAATGCATTAAGCGTTGTGTCCACGGTGTTGGAAATCGAGATCTCAGATAGAGGAAGAATTTACCAATAGCATTAATCATGTAGCTGATTTGTTTAGATGTGATTTATTAATTCTTTTTTTTTATCTCTGAGATCTTGAAGTGGTTTCAAGCATCGTAGATACAAGATTTTAGAATTGCCCTTAATTTCACCAAACATATAGCTATTTTACTTTAATTAGTATTACATTTATATATAATAAGTTCTTTCCAGTAAGAGAGACACAAATCACACAGTGTAAGTCATGATTAGACTAAGAATTAAAATTGAGATTGAATTAGAACTTAATCAATTAGATGAAAGAAATAAAAATTCAAGTTTAGTGAATTTTTGGTTTGATTGGTTAAATTCCAATCTTATCTCAATGTTTAATCTAATCATAACTTAACAGAATGCATCATTACATCCTTATTGTTTACTAATGTTAAATAAAGATGGAATGTTACATTGTTTTTTGATGGAATACGCTAATACTCGTATTTAAAATAAAATATTTTATTGTGTGGAAGTCTGGTGAAAGGACAATTTTTAATAAAATGTTAAATTCAGTGAAATGACAAAAATAGACTTATAATATTATCATTCATGATTGTGTACATTAAGTACATAAATTATTTAGTTATGTAATAAAGTTGCATTAACATTAATAATGTTTATGTAGGAAACCTATCCTTCAACGCCGCCCGTTTGGTTTGCCGAATCCGAGGAAACTAGTGTTACGAATGCTGTACAAATTTTAAGTAACACAACAGGCCGTGACAACCACGTAATCAACCAAGTTGGTATCCTGTTGAAAGAATTATGCAGATTACATTCGTTACCGGAACCACCGGATGTTGAAAGGCTGAGAACCGCTTTGGATCCCTTACGATTAGGAGGATCGAATGAAACGGTGGCACAAAGGATGGATGCTGAAGACTTAGATGATATTGACGAAGATGAAGACAGTGAGACTGAAGAAGACCTTCATCTGGATATGGACGAAGGAGACGCTAATTCTAAAAATAAGGTAAAGAGAAATGATTTGTTTGCTATTGGTTAATTTTAGTTATTTCTGTTATTAATCTTTGTTATTGATCTTTAATAATATAGAGTGAAGAAATGGATTTGGAACATCTTGCGACGTTGGAAAGGTTGAGACAGAATCAGAGACAAGATTATTTAAAAGGATCTGTTTGTGGAAGTGTACAAGCAACAGATAGACTCATGAAAGAATTGCGTGATATATACCGAAGTGACAGCTTTAAAAAGGGTATGTTATTGATAATAAGGTTTCCATGGATATATTTACATCAGAGATGTCAGAGGATTTTTTAGGGTTATCGTTGTGTTATGTTCCATTGCTAATAGATACGTTTCGTAAACTTCATCAGAATGAATAGTGCACTCATATTGAACTGCTCCACTGAAGAATTCCCTTTATAATCGTTATTGAGAAAGAAGGAGGAATGAAGAAAGTGGCATCTCCTTAGTTTGTCAGAAAAGTATATTTTACTTACGTTAAAAAAAAAAAGTCTTTATATTTTCTCATCTGTAAAAGGAACAACAAACCGAATTGACAGGATTTTAAACAAACGCAACATCTGAATTTTTCAAAGAAGATAGAACAAACCTAAAGAGGAATCTTAGACTAAAAATCTCCACTCAGTGTTCCGCAAAAATATATAATATATATAAAATATCTTGCTCTTATGTATGGGAAAGTAATGTCAGTGAAACGATCAACGCTCGTATGAAGGAATATTAACGGGACGTCAGACTGAAACGTGTCACACAATCATCATTGTCAGAAACACAGCATTGAGACAGGATACTAAATACTATTTATAAAAACAACTACTGTAATTACAACGACGTCATATTTTCCGAGCAAATAGGAGGCTCTAGAAATACAGAAACATCCTGATAACTTAAATAGAGACGTAGGTTATAAGTAAAATATGAAAGACTGCTCTTCTGACAAGCTAAAGAAGTGCTCTTTTTCTCCTTCCTCTTTTCTCTTCCCCTCAGCATTTGCATAAGGCTTGTTCATATTTTCATCCGGGTACGACCCGGATATCATGTCATCCTTCTCTAATTTTCGGCAAACAAGGATGGAATGATATTTTAATGACATTTTGATGGGAGTCTAAACTCAGCATTTAAGGATTTTTCCGGAAGTTAGTATTGCTCAGTATCAGTGCACCGCTCACTCTGATGAAGTGGACAGTAAAATTTACGAAACAATGGATCACAACACAGCGATAATCCGCAAACCCTCTGTCATCCTTGGAAAGTATGTCATTTTGAAAGTTTTGTTATTATAATTAAGTTTTTATAATTCTATATGTATTTTATATATATATATATATATAGTATTTTTCAATTTAATAAATTTTTGAAATGACTTTTTTACTTCATACAATAAACAAAAAAGATTCATATAAACTTGTGTCCAAAAATGAGATAAAAGTTGGAAGATTAAATAAAAATTGAAAGATATTCAACAACAAAATTTTATTCAAATGATGATATTTGACTAATATTAAGTCACAGTTTGCCAGAATTCGAGATATTCTCTATTTTCTTATTGAATGCAAACAATTTTAAATCCTTGTATATTTAGTTTTACTTGAAAATAAAAATATGTTTCATTAAATATTTTTGATATTTGTGGAACTATTTGTATTTTTTGTTAAATTGTGGCCTGATATTAATTTGTCAGTTCAAAATTTTGTTGAATGTTTCAATAATAACAGCATTGCTATTCAGTCACTTCAGTTACTTTTATTTTTTTTTTTTTTATAAGTGAAAAAGTCACTCTTGTTCAAAATAGTGACACTAATCATTAAAAATTTTTTTCTCATATAGTTCCTTAGATGAGGAAAATAGGTTCTACATTACTGCCCTATCTTTGAGCAAGATAGCATAAAGGAATTCAATCAATCTCTTATATTAATTCTCTTTTCTGTAATTCTTCAAATACGAAATTTCGTATTAATAATTCTCTTTTTTTTTAAATCTGTAAATTAGATTTTTAAGCACAGAAAACTTAATTCAGCAATATGTAAGGCACAAGGGATCGAACTCGGAATAACAAATCTTCAGTTGACCGTACAAAGCTATTTGAGATATCCTTCGTTTTTCTTGAGTTGAAATTAGTAAACAAGCATTCTATTCATATTTTCGTTATCTTATCTGATAACAATTGACACTCGTTCACTGTTGCTCATTAAGTACTGATCCAATATTAAAAAAACGATTGCAAAAGGATAGATTTTTTGCCTGTTTTTCGGTCCCCGAGTTTGAAATAGAATTTTATGTCAAATAATAGCTCATGTTGAGACATTAATCACAATAAAGTTTTACGTTGAGCATGCGATTGGTTTCAGTAATATAGAGCGTCAAATCAGCAACTACTAAGAAAATATGATACTAACAACGCTTTATAGCACGAATTTTTGTTGAATTTTTTTGAAAGTCAGTACTTATGGGTTCTTTAAATTACTTGATTACGAAATCTCATGTCAGATTTAAAAAAATCACGATATAACTTTCAAAAATTATAATTATTTTCGCATATTCAAGGAATGTTTTTGTTTTTTTTGCTTTTAAAAAAAATTATCTTTTTTAATCATCTGATAAATGTGTTGTCAAAAGAATTTTTAAATATCCTCTTTATACATTTAATGGTTTTTTTTCAGGAATGTATAGCATAGAACTAGTAAATGACAGTTTGTATGAATGGAATATCAGATTGATGTGTGTAGATCCTGATTCACCACTTCATAGCGATCTCATTCTTTTGAAAGAAAAAGAAGGCAAAGACAGTATTCTTCTCAATATGCTTTTCAAGGTAATAAGGCTAAACTTAAGACTTAAGCTTTGAATAGTAGCACTAGTAGTAACAGTAATAATATTACGGTGGCTGATATAGTCTTTTATCTCATTTACACTATTATATTAGGTCATTTAGGTCTAAAAAATTCTTCTGTAACTCTTGACAGATTATTAGTTCCAGCCCAACATGTGTACTAAGCTTTATGAGACTGCTCAACCTTTCTCTTCTATATATCTTAAGTTTAATGTAGCCTTAGGCTACATTAGTATCTTCCTTTATATCTTTAGGCTTAGTATAGTACTAGAATCTGTACCTTTTTTAATCGTGCCTTTTTGATCAATCTCTTACAAAACAATGTGTGTGTATATATATGGGGGTGGCAGTCAGAATCAAACCTGGAATTAAGAGTTGTTTTCATAAGAGGCCATGTATACTATGCTTCGAATAAGATATATACATAAATGTATTAATTTGCACTTTTTCTAAAGTTTCTTGCAGATATTTTATTTCTAATTTTTATTATCGTAGGAAACGTATCCGTTCGAACCTCCATTTGTAAGAGTGGTACATCCTATTATATCTGGTGGATATGTTCTTGTGGGAGGTGCCATTTGCATGGAGCTTCTTACAAAACAAGGATGGAGTTCGGCGTATACAGTAGAAGCTGTTATAATGCAGATTTCAGCGACGTTAGTGAAAGGGAAAGCGCGTATACAGTTCCAAGGATCAGGTGGCGCTGGTAAAGTGTGTGGCGGACAAGGCCAATATAGTTTGGCACGTGCCCAACAGTCATTCAAGTCTCTTGTACAAATACATGAAAAGAATGGTGAGAATTTACTTCTTTTATGTGCTGCAGTTAATTATTAATGCTTAATAACGTATTTGCGTTTTAATAGGTTGGTTTACACCTCCAAAAGAGGATGGCTAATGAACACCAACTGCGGAAAAGTACCGAAAATATGATACATGCTTACAGCTGAGACTTTAATTCGGTGTGTGCCCAAACAAGTAATTGTTATGATAATGATTTGATACACAAACACAACAGTAACTAGGTAACTTAAGATACTGAATTAATCTAACATATAATTCCTTTGATGGCTAAAAAGCTGCCGTACACTTTGGTTATGTATCCATATTTTTTTCGGTCATTAGTAGTTAGATCGCGAATTATATCGATAAATGTAAGGTATCATTTCGCTTGAAATTGATTCTTATGTTTTAAGAATCGCATTGTTACAGTATCGTAATTTTATGTACTCCCTTCCCCTTAAAGATACATATGTTGTATGTGTGAAACAGTATAATTATTCTGGAAAATTTTTATTTTCTGAATAATGCAATTGTGCTTTCTGTCTCTTTAATGGGAAGATATTATGATTAAACATTTTACGTTAAATAATGCTGGACAAATTTTTAAGTTTTTCTTTCATTGTTTTATTATATATATTGTGTCTTTTCTTGATTTTCTATAAAGCAACTGTTATGTTCGATACATTTTAATGACGAGGCTATATTTCGTTGCTAATATATGCCATAAACAAGTAAAAATAATGGTAGTAAAAATGCATCTCTTGAAGAAAAAAAATGTACATCACTTCTATTCTTGAAATCCTTTGCCAGATATCTTTTGATCCAAAAATTATGTGAGCGCACAACCAAAACATTTTTCTTTTAAAAAAAGAAAACTTTTTAGAATAAAATGACTAAATAAAATATAAAAGTATAGCTTTTACATCGGGAGACTCTGAAGAGTACAATTATAGAAGTTACAAAAGTCTCTGCAAGCTTTTAAAGACTTGCAATTAATTATATGTTTTGTAAAACTAATTTTGTCTATATCAATAACCAAGTCAAGATTTTTGACACGAGAAGCGATATTTTTTTACATTCGGCGAATAGTATATTTCGTAGCATTATTGGATTAGATAAAAGATAGATTTCGTAGTGCTTGTATCAGTTGCTTTCTATTTACATCAAAACTTACATAATTCTCATTTGTGACGTCTTAACTCAGTTGAATGCACGCTTTTTTTCATTCTGACAAGTGAAATTCAACTGAGTTTTTATCTACAATCTACACAGACTCAAGATCGTGTGTTTTACTGAATCTTGTTAACTTACCTTAACAATGAAGTTGTAGATCTATGTTGTTATGCGATAACTTTGTTACCAAAGTAAGCAAGTAGTGACGTCATTATCGTAATCACAATTTTAAAATTTAGTATCACATGTGAAAATGGAAAGCAACTATTTGTATACAATACAGTAATTAATGTGGATGTATATCTTTTTGAATAGAACATAAGAATTATACAGATGCGAATATATAGATGCTGTAGCAGCATACGATTCCTTTCTTAAGGGGATGTTAGACCGACCAAATTGTGGGTACATTACAGTTGAAGAAAAATCTCCGAATTGACTAAACGGGATCAAATTCTGTAGAGCTGTCATCTGACATAAATGTTTCCTTAATAAAAAAGTTTTACAGCTTGTATGGAGCAAACGACAGTTGAACACTCAGTGTATTACATGAACAAACAATACTAATTTCATAAAACTGAGGTTGAAAGCTCCAAAAAAGATATTTTATTAAACTGCAAATTAGGTAAATTTGTTTACTCAACGAAGACTCAACATGATAAACCATGAATTACGTCTGACAGTAATTGTTCGATTTTACAAGAGATGGCGTTGCAATATATTAGATAAGGACAGATAAATGCGTTTGAGTGAGCACAACAATATATAACAATATAAGAAATGAATAAAAGATGTCACTATTATCGAATTTGGAACTAAAAGAGTCTGTATTATCGACGTCGATTAAGTTCGGCCGTTGCTCCAGCATCCCCTTAAACAGTAAAAAATTGATATTGATTTTTTTGCAATATTATCCAGATGGCTTATAGTTTTCTATAACACACACACACACACACACACACACATTATTTATATATATATGTATATATAGACATATATATATATATACACCTTGTTGTGTGTAATATTAAATATTCGAATATAGAAACTGTATAGCTGTACATAATACAAGTACTCTTTAGAGTCTTTAGACTCAGAGAGCATAAATACAATAGAAGCTTAAAAGTTTTGGTTGTGTGTTTCATCAAACAAATCCATTCTAAAATCTATCTTTCGTTATTTTCTCTATGACACAATCTATAAAATATAAAGAGTACTTTTCATTTAATGATATAAGTTCAACATAAATAACGTTTCACCTTTGGTACTCATTAACTGCTAAGATAGGATGATGCTCGTGTCGACTTGTATCATCAAATGGAAAGCACAGAAATGTTGTATAAATGCAATATATAATTTTTTTAATAAGAGATGCGTGAGCTGAACATTATCGATAATTAATTCTTATGTATAAATTTATTTTCGAAGAATTATGAGTTTCATGCAAATGTTAGAGTTTCTAACAATTGCAACAGAGGAAAGTTTTTTGGGTGATTTTACGAATTTGATGATAATTGACTATTGTTTGTGTAAGCAATAAATAGCCAACGTATGTTGTATAAACACTTTTCTTCTAAAGTAAATTTTTGTCCATTAGAATTAATAATATAACAATTTATAACATTTGTAACTTTAGTAAATCTAATTTTTGCTATCAGTTATACTTGTAAAAGGTATTTCCTTTCATAAAAATTGTATATCTTACTGTTAAATGCGTTTTTGCAATACGGTAATGAAGTTACGTTACTGAAAATGTGAACACTACAGACGTTAATTGGTAATATTCTTTGGATTTATACCACTTCTAACATTTATGCAGTTTGTTTTGTACATACATACATACATACATACATACATACATACATATATACATATAATACATACAGACATATGTACATACATACATACATAGATATACATGTCCTGATTCGTATACATGCATATACACATACACATATGCATTCTGTTCCTTATGCTTCATCTTCCTACGTAATTTCGAATGAGTATAGTCTTTCTGCAATCACATTCATTTGCAACATGTCAACATGAACATTTATGGATATCAATCACGAGTAGTCATGTTATTTTCATAAGAGTCAAGAAAATCTATCATTTTCGTTGTAAATATATCGCCAATTAAAACAACCAATTATGACGGTTTAACTGTTATATTTCAGGGATTTTTATTTCAGAGGTATCATTACTTTTAATAATATTACGTTAGGGTATGTGTATGCGTAAATATTGTGTTTGCTTTCGTTAGAATGAATGGATATACCTGAACGCCTATTATAACCGTATGGAGATGGAGCAGTACATATGTTATTGGTAATAACGCATGTACAATGTATCAGTACACATGATTATTGGTATAACTGGATCGAGTAGCGTGGGTCACTAGTTTCGTTCGCGGTACAGTTAAACTCGTTTGTGAGCAAATCATATGAGCAGTATCGTCATATAAATAATAGATTCTTAAGTATAGGTGTGCGATCATCGAGCTCGTTGTCAACGGGTCCCACGATTTGTACAGCCGCCGCCCGTTTGACACTGAGTACTGGTTGTTCGACGTCGTTAAACGTTATGTTCTTTGCCAAAACTTCGTGTCGTCTGTTAAGTTTTATTTTTATTTTTTTTTTTTAACTGCGTACGATCGCGGGGAGCAATGTGACATGTGTATTTTTGCTACAAATATCGTTAAGACTTTTCGTTTTCTTGACACGACATTCAACATTCGACTCTTATCGATATTCGTGACGATATAAAAAATTTCAGAATCTCGATGTAAGGTCGATATGTTGCACGTGATTAGTTCGAATTAATTACATTTAATAAACGAGATACGAGTAACGAGAGTAATAAGATAAGGTAACGATAATTCCGCGCAACGTGTCGGGATTTGTTTCGGATTGAACATTTTGACGTGCGCCTAAAGAAGTGGAAGTTTGAATTAGTCGGTTATTACATAACTCTGGAATGCATTTCTCAAATTTTTAGATTGTGTGCTGTAATGTAGTTGTCAAATTTTTTGTTATATATTCGAAGTAATCTTTCTATTTGAAGACTGATAAAAGTAGAATTTTTGTGAATGTACTTTTCTTCCACGTTACATTTGTAAAATGTGTCTTTCACACTATACTTGGATTCGTGAGCATGAGAATAAAAGATACTCGAGCAATTTATCCGTGTTGAATGGGACTTTCTATGTATTTGTGAATATGAAAACATTATGAAATTGTAACGTAAGATTTTCGTACGAAGGCATTAGTGCCAATTGGGAAGGTGGATATACATATCCCGTTCCAAAATGTATTTGTGGCAAAAATAGTCATTTAAAGTCTCTTCCAACTCATTTGTTCACATTTTATTAATAATGTGGATGTTTATTATGCTTTAAGTAAATGCGAATAATCGATTGCTGTAATGATAAATTATTTTTTTTTGTTTAAAGGGAGAGCACTCGGTTCACGCGGAACTTTAAATAAGCGACTGATATGACTGAACGTTAAACACAATACAAGCATGTACGGAAATTATTACAACGACACCTGGTAACAGATCTGCATTCTAATCAAGACAGAACGATAAGTAATAGTCTGCGTTTCGCTTGAACCGTGGTATTTGATTGCATCCATTTGATACTTGGGATATAATGACTTTGTGTATCGTGTTAAGTATATGATATAACTTAACTCTCACACATATTATAACATTTTCTGACGAGGGTATAGACTTCCGGATCAAAGCAGAGTGTGCCGTACGCGTCGAGAGAAATCACGATTAAAATTTTCTTTATTTTTAGTTTTTATTACAAATTTTCGAAATTATCCATTCCTTCTTTTTCGTAAATATTTCGTTATTTTCTCGACGTGGACGATGATGTGTTCCCCGAGTCTAAACCCATAAGTTAACTTATGTCTCTACTCTGTCTGCGTACCTATTTGCGTAATTAACTCATTGGTCAACCAAGAGATCGATTATTTTTTGGTAATCGGTCGCGTCGTCTCATTGTCAATATAATCTTAAGATTACGTATCTTAAATCTGCTCCAC